TTAGAGATTATTTTTAAAGGTAATATTCTGACACTTGAACGAAGAGACCTATGTAAAAATTGGCGTTCTTTTAGTATGTAACACTTGATTTCTTAAAAAGTACTCTAAAGCATATAAATAAGTTACCCGGGCAATTGATTTACATTAGCCAATCAGACGAACTTCTGCCTATGACCTTAACTATGTTTGACATCGCATATCCCACGTGTAGCTACACTAACAATGGTAAATGATCATCCTTATATTGTAGAATCCGTAAATTTTTACTAAATTTCTATCGGGTTTAGACGGCATTTAGCAATACAGGTCAATCATTTCGGGGCCAAAATTATCAGTTAGGTAACTTTACTTAATGAGTGAGCTATAACTTCATTAGTAAAACTTTTAGTGATCTTGCGCAAAATTAGTTAATTCCGGCCCTACCGATCATGATTTCGAGGTATTCCGACTTGGAAATCTGGGGACCTCCCTGTATGAGTTCGTATAGTTAAAATTCGCAATCTATTTTTCCTAAATTCGTGTTCTTACAGTTGTACAATTACCAAATAAGAAAAAATAAGCGTGGTTTTTCTCTGCGATAATCTGTAACTCATTGTTTCATGGGAGTGAAGTTTAAACGGAGGATTTTCTACTTGCATTTCCTATTGATCTGTGACCAATAGAAACTGTGGAAATGCATCACGGAGGTGCTAATGATTGATTGTCCAATCATATTTAAATTATATAATGTCAATTAGAATTGATCACTTGATTTGTACAAATATAAGCACTAAAACAAAAGCAAAAATTTTGAAGGACGATTCCTCTAATATTCGCGATGTGGAAGCCTTCAATTACTGGTACAAATAATATTCCGCTGGGAAGACGAAGAATAGGCGGATCTATGGATGAATATGAAGATTCTGCTGAACAAGCTAAAGAATCAAGCAGTACAGGAAACTCTCTGAAAAGATCTAATGAAGAAAACGGGGAACAAACAGGTATTACGCGGAAGATATGACCCTCGTAGCATATATTTTATCACTGCACAATAACAATTTAATGCTTCGCAACATAATAGCCATAAGATCTATATGCATTCAGTTTTTTTTTATTGTTCTCATTGATCTATAATATTTGGATACAGTATTTCCAAAAATAAATCTAACTTTTCAAATTATAAATGAAAGACGTATATACTAACAGTTTATCAAATTGCGTTTCGTTATTCACTATTAATTTTGTTCCTCCGAAATTCTCATGTCTCTCCAAAACCGTTTCGTCAACTAACTGGAATATTTCAGATGGAAGTGAGGAACGTAAGCGCAAGAGAAGAAGCAGGTGGGGCGGGGAAGAATCGAAAGTCAACATTCCAGGTTTACCAACTGCCATTACTTCTAATATGTCAAAGGAGCAATTAGATACATACCTGCGTAATTATTTTATTATTATTATTTTTTATTCCCTTATTTGTGGTGGATGATTATTAACATTTAATAAACTGTTTAAATAGTTCATATGAGATTAGAAGAAATCGGAAGAAAATTGAGAACCGGCGATTATGTTCCACCTGAGAGAGAAAGGTAGGTTTATTGATTTCAAATATTATAAAAATGTTTTTTTTTTTTTATTATTGTATACATAAATAAAATTATATTATATGTAATATGTAATAAAAGATCACCATCTCCGGAACCAGTCTATGACTCTCAAGGGAAACGTGTAAATACCCGTGAATACCGTTATCGAAAGAAATTAGAAGATGAACGTCATAAATTAATTGAAGAAGCTGTTAAAAGAAATCCAGATTATAAACCTCCAGCAGATTATAAACGACCAACTAAAGTACAAGACAAAGTCTATATTCCTGCTAAAGAATTTCCTGAAATTAATTTCATCGGTTTGTTGATCGGCCCTCGCGGCAATACACTCAAAAAAATGGAATCTGAATCCGGTGCAAAAATTAGTATTCGTGGTAGAGGAAGCGTGAAAGAAGGAAAAAGTAGAACTGATGCTGCTGCAAATGCTAACCAAGAAGAAGATTTACATTGTCTGGTTACAGCTGATGCCGAAGAAAAAGTTGCCAAAGCAGTTAAAATGATTAATAAGATCATTGAAACGGTATAATTTATTATTATATATATTTTTTTCTATTCTATAATGGATTTATCTCATAAAATTATATATAAAATGATATTTAACAAACAATTAATGTCGTTTTGTTATTTAGTCTGCATCTGTACCAGAAGGTCAGAATGAACTTAAACGACAACAATTACGCGAGCTAGCAGCTCTCAATGGTACTCTCCGCGATGACGAAAATCAAATTTGTACAAACTGTGGTGCTACAGGCCATCGAAAATACGAATGTACCGAGTCACAAAATTTCACTATTAATCTTACATGCCGCATCTGTAGTGGTCATGGTCATACAGCAAGAGATTGCATGGAAAGAAATAATCCAGAAGCTTTACAACAAGCTAAGCAAAGAGATCAAAAATTAGATAGTGAATATATGAATTTAATGGCTGAACTTGGTGAGAATGTTGATGCGTCGAGAACTAATGAACTTGGTGTGAAAACTGTATGTTAAAATTACATTTTAATGAATTATCATTTTTATTCTTCAATTTGTATTTTAACGTATCTTTTTATATACAGGGGCATTATGGTCCTTCAAGTGGACCAAAGCCTCCGTGGGCTGCACAATCTGCAGCTGCTCCTCCATGGGCAGTAAAGCCTAACGTTACTGGTATTCAAACGGCGGCATCTGGTTTGCCACCTTGGCAACAACCCGTATCTGCAACCGCAATTCCACCACCGCCTGGTATATATAGTTAATTAGGTTATTTTTTTTATATTAAAATGTGTACTTATTAATAATTTTTTGTTTCATAGGTTTGTCCAATCCACCGCCACCACCTCCAGGATTATCATCCACTACGACAGCATGGAATACCGCCAAATTAACCTATCCGCCTCCACCCGGATCTTCTCTTTATCCTACCGCTCCTGCATCAAGTTCTTTATATCCGCCGCCTCCTACTACCTTAAATTACACTTACTCTACTTATGGTAACACTGCTGGTTATTCTGCTTATGGTACAACTTATTCAGCAGCTGCGGCGGCTGGATATCCACCGCCCCCGCCTTCTGCGCACTGGGTAACTAACTATTGTTATTTTTATGTTTTTTGCTTTGACATATTTTTCTTACCTTTTTTTGTTTTAAATAGCAACCTCCGCCACCACCAGCTACCCCCGCTCCACCACCACCGCCACCACCACCGCCACCACCGAAATGAAATTCTGATTTCTAATTACTAATCCGACTAATCTGCTGCTAGTTTTTGCACGATATATTTTCAGATCCGATGTACTAACATATTTAGTGAATCTTATAAAATCGGTACTTTATTTTATAGGAAGAATAGAATAAACTGATTTATCTTTTTTTTTTTCATTAATATTATTAAGACTTTAAAAGTGTTGTAATTACCAATATTATATTTATTTTTGTTTTTTTTTTTTTTCTAAAAAAAAAAAAAAATGACAATTCGTAAATCTAGATATTAATTTACATAGTGCTCTAGTTTGTTAATAACTTCTGCCAAATAATGCATATCTTTTTGCAAATCCGTCGCAAGATATACATTTTGTTTCGTTAGGCACGATAGGAGGTTCGGTTGGTTGTTCAAAGGGAATGCAAAGTGATTTGGCACCCATTGATGGAGCTTTATCGTCTTCAGGTTCTTGTTCAGTGTTACTGTAAAAAAAAAAAAAAAAAATTAATTTTTATTATCAATAAAAATAAAATATATTATTCAACTTGCCTTCTTGAACTTTTTTCTTTGATTTTATCTTCACAATGTTCTTGTTCACACCAAGGAACAAGTACAACGTTTTTACTATCGAGAGCTGGAACAAAATCCTCCCACTTATGTATAACTTTAACATGGTCGTCATATATTTTTTTTGCTCTTTCAAACATGTCCTTTTGGATCGTATTAAGTATATCTGGAACACAGGTTGTAAGCTTATCTAATGGAATAGGATCCTTAACACCATTATCACGGCGAACAGAAAGAGTTTGGTTTTTTGTTAAATCGCGGGGTCCAATCTCTAATCGAAGCGGAACACCCTTTTGTGCGAAAGATAAAGTTATTAGGTAAATCGTTTATTATTATGATCAAGAAAAAAATTAATTTGTTACCCTCAATTCCCAATGATTAAACTTGTACCCTGGAGTATAGGTATCCCTGAGATCGGCTTTCGCCTTTATCCCAACAGAATTCAATTCCTTCACTACGTCGTTAATTTTTTCTTCTACGCGTTTCTTATCCTCTTCAGATGTCTTTACAGTTAAACCGCAAGGAATAACAATGACTTGAATAGAGGCGATCCGTGGAGGCAACACCAAACCTTTATCATCATCATGAATCATAACCATTACACCGATACTTCGAGTTGTTAAACCCCAAGAATTTTGCCATACATGAAGTTTCTTTGCCTTGTTTTCAGAGTTCGCAGGAGCATTAGGATCTTCAACTACAATATCAAACATTTTAGCAAAATTTTGACCCAAACAGTGAGAAGTTGCAGCTTGAATTCCACGCCCCGTAGTTGGAATAAAACCCTCAATAGTAGTAGTGTAAAGTCCGCCGGCAAATTTTTCCTTTTCAGATTTGAGACCCTTGATAACAGGAACAGCTAATAAATCCTCATATACCTGCCGATAAAGCTCAAGTATTTGACGAACTTCAGCATCAGCTTCTTCTTTAGTAAAATGAGCAGTGTGACCCTCCTGCCACAAAAATTCACGAGTTCTAATAAAAGGTTCTAATAAATAATAACATTAAACGTAAAAACCAAAAAGTCAAATAAGTAAAGGTTCTAGAAATTATACAGCAGCTTCAGATCATAATGAACCTTTTTATAACGAACTTACTCTATAACGAACTTTTTTTTTTTTTTTTTAAACAAAAAAAAAAAAAAATCATTAGAGTTCGGTATAGAAAACTTTTACTATAAGAACGTTATAAAGAGGGTCGACAGTGCATAAGCTTCGAAGAATAAATGAGTGTCGCTAAAAGAAAACCCGAAAATCTAAATATGACTTATATTTAAATTTTCGGGGTTTCTTTTAGCAACACTCAAATGATAAATTAAATATACATGTAACTTCATGATTATTTAGAAAAATGTTAAACATACGAGGTTTTTTGAATTCCCAACGAACAACATTACACCATTGATTGAGTTTTAAAGGCAAATCACGATATGTTCTGATCCATTTGGAAAAGTAAGGATACATTACAGTTTCAGAAGTAGGACGGATAGCGATGGGATTTTCCATTTCGGAAGAACCTCTAAAATTCATTAAATAATTCAAATATTAGTAACTAAATCTAACTGAAAATCAAATCCTAATAATGCTTACGCTTTAGTAACCCAAGCTACTTCCGGGGCAAAACCTTCGATATGATCCTTTTCTCTTTCCAATTGTCGTTGCGAAACAAACATTGGAAAATATGTATCTTCAACCCCCAACTTTTTAATTTCGGAATCAAAAAAATCTATCATTAAAAGTAATAAAAATAAGTCTAGAACACCCAAACATTTCAATCGTTAATATAATAATGAATTTACTTTGAATTTCTTGCCAAATATTATAAGCCAATGGTCTGATAATATAACATCCAGAGACTTCCTCGTAATATTCCAACATTTCTGAGCGTTTCAGAACCTTAAAATACATTACTAAATAAGTAATACAAATGATGAAGCATATGTACATATACGAAAGTAATGCATACCTGAGTATACCATGTGGAGAAATCGGCATCCTTCCTAACTTCAATTCCAATCTGAGATGTTCCCTCAGCTTGAAAAATGATAACAATTTGATATATAGAACAGTCGTTTAAAATAATGCTTTATATTTTTTATATTACGTACCTTCGTCCTTTTTCGTGTTTTTTTTGGACATTGTTAATTTTTTTTTTTAATAATTTTTTAACAAATGTTAACGCGATGGTGTGGCTATGAATAGATCATATGCGCAGATTTGTAGAATTGGGTCTCATAAATGGACCCCAAAATTTTTAATAAGTCACATGCTGATTAAACATAGTACCCCAAATCACATGTCAAATTCGTTGTAAAACCAATGAAGCAATACTATATATTTAGCATTTGACATTTAGCTTGGGTTTCGTAATATGTTTAACTTGAATTATATATACTTATGTATGTCTTAGCTTGGACCTTACCATAATACAGTTTGTAAATGCACTGCCGTTGAGACCATAAGAAAAAAAATTAAAATAGTGCACTTAGAAAGTGTGCATTTATAGAGTAGAAATTATATATAGCTTTTAGGAGTTGGGACCAAACAATGCCGTGCATTTAGAGAGTTTTTACTTAGTCTGTGCATTTATGGAGTTCTGACTGTATATATTTAGTTTAGGTTTTATAGCACATATTTAGCTTGAGTTTCGTGTTTTATATTTAATTCAGATATAGTAATCATTTTTATTAATCGATGCTAATCAATAAAAGAATATATTTAATATATTACCAAGCACGCATTCGTCACTATTTATTATTACCATTTTGCTACATTTTATATGATATTTGAAAATTTTTATTAATTTGCATTGAGTTTTGTAATTTAATGTAATACATCGCCACCCTATAATATATGATTCAAGTTTATCCCAACTGATATCTAAAATACGATATTCATAAAAAGTACATAGCTAATTCTTTTCTTCTATTTGATCTGAATATATTATCACTAAAAAATAAGCATGGTGTTCTTACAAAGTGTATTATCTAATACTCCATCCGGGTCAACTAATATATGTGATCCAAGATTATTTCAACTGATATCAAATAAGCACGATATTCATAAAAGCATATCAGCTAACTAGTGCTTTTTCTCTATCTGGTTCAACCAGTATCTAAATAAGTCAATGTAATGCAAAGTGCATCAACTAATCATTCCACCCAAAGAAGTTAGCGTGGTTGTTCTTACGAAGTGCATTAGTTAGTGCTTTCCTTTCATTTGATCTGAGTTATTATCACTAACACCTAAAGAAATCAGCGTGATGTTCTTACAAAGCACATCAGCGAATGTTCTCTTTCATCCAGTTCAAACTAATATCTAAAGGAATAAGCGTAGTGTTCATATAAAGTATATCAGCTAATGCTCCTTCTCCATTCGGTCCATATTTGTTCCAACTTTAGGATTCAAAAAAGTCAGAGTGACATTCTTGCAAAATGCTTTTCTTACTACCAAAATCAGCATTATGTTCATGCAGGGTGCAACTGCTAATACTCTGGTTCTAATTTATATGAAAATAAAAAACAAAAAAATAAATAAAATAAATAACTTATCTTTAAAAGTTTGCAACGATAACCATTTAATAGATTTGGCTGCTCCGGCAACAATAATTTAATTTGCTACTGTAAAAGATATACAAGACCCGGGTCTGTTACATTCCACCGATTTAAAACCTATAGTAGACCCGGGGTCTGGTACACAGCTGAGCGTTAATATTGTAGCAAGGTAAATTCTAAAGTACAGAAGTACATTGCATTTGAAATAAGTACGTACGTACACAAATCTAATTACTATAGATCTGCGCATATGTTAACTGCCATCTTCGATCATGTGATAGATCACGTTTTAATTTTTCTAATTCAATAGGGCTTGCCCGAATTTTGGCGCCAAAAGAGGTCAATCGGAAATCTCAGGTATTTTTACTGATTATAGATTATTTCTATCTATTGAATTCTCCTATTGACCTCTTTTGGCGCCAAAATTCATAAGCAATATGAAGTCAATAGGGTTAAATCTTGCTACGTAACTTTGTATGGTTTTATATTTTATTTACGTATTAATTCTATTACTTATGCATATACCTT